GTCGTCCATCAAAGTGTCGCTTGTTTCATGTGTAAAAGCGACTCATTCCTCTACAGATTTGCGACGTACAATGATGAGCAGATTCTTCTCTATAGTCCACGAAGGTTTTTGAATAGCTCGACGGCGATGAAGCTCTACAAACTTTGCAGAATTCAAGATGTGCTGGAGGAGGGTTGCGGCAGCTTTCATGGGGTCAGCGGCTGGCCATGTTCTTCAGTTTCAGGTGGAACTGTTACAGTGGAGAATCAATCTTTATATTAAGTCAAAAATCATCAAAAACTCTAAGGCATGGGTCGAGCATTCCTCATTATAAAGGAACGCACATCGCACGGCCAGCCCATTACAAGTTGTACCAGCTGAACTTCAGAGTGGTTCTGCGAACATCTTACTTAGTAGACCTTCGTTCTATCTACTGTCAAATTTCTGACGATCTTGATAGCTTCCTTGAAGAGAAATACATCAAAACCCAACATGATGCCGAAACGACCTTCCCTCAGTTCATCGCCTCCAGAGGTCCAGCGTTCTAGAAAATCCTACCAAGTTGAACGGCTTCTTATAGAAAAATATTCGCGCTTTCAAATGGTTTTTCAACCAACTCGAAAGGTTAAGTCTAAGCCGAGATACGTGCATTTAAATTTTGGGGTTGGAAAACGACAGAACTTTCTGAAACGCCTAATAGTAACTCGGCTAATCCAATTTCTTGCTGTAGCTGGCTATGTTCTAGTTCATTCCTTATGTCTGCTGCCACTTGACCAAAGGCTATAGGAAAAGGTCATGGGTGTCTGGGTCGCTTTGATGACACCTTCAGGTGAATGGCCTCGATGTTGAATCAGCTTTTGTCTTGCTCACTGAAGTGTTGTGCCGAGCCTAGACTAGGCGCTATCGTGCCTATAGGTGAAAAGAGAGGCTCAGACAGTAAATCTGTTGATGTAACTGAGTTGAGAGAGGATATATGTAGAGAAAAGAAGAAAATAAATTGGAAAATGTGATATCCAAGAGCAGTTGAGCCACTCGAAGCCAACTTTGTATAAACACCCTCCAGAATAATTACATCCTCTCGGTGCGAGACTTCCTGTACATGATAACGACTCAAGCCCAGTGTCGGCCATTTGCGCACTTCTCAATGTAAGGGTCGTAGGGTCTATGGAGGGAGAGGGTCGTGACGGTTTTGTTTTAGTGACGGTGACAAGGAGGTCGTTTTCGATATTCACAAAAGGGTCATGGAAGTGAAAGTTGGGGCGGGGGTCGTGCTGCCGTGGAAGGGGAGAAGGGTCTTGATAGGTCTTCGTCGATTCAAGCGAAAGCCAGCATTAAAAGGAGGAAATTATAGTATTGTTTGCCCGTCCAACGTACATACATATTTGTTCCCCTCCCCTCCCTACATCTCACCCTTCCTACTTTAGTGGGGAGAAAGTGGACGGAGTTGGAGTGTGTCGACTACAGTACCTCCCATAACTTTGTTAAAAAAGACGCGGAAGACGCGGATCCGCGTCTTTTTCGTCTTTTTGCTATAATTTGATTTCTGATCGCTTTTCGACATGAAAAACTGTATTAGACTCAGCTCGTCGAGTGCTATTAGCATAATCTCTCAGATTTCAGAAAATTTTATTATTCCATTCCAAAGTACCTGAGGCTACTCGTTAGCGAGCGTGGCCCGCTATAATTGCAGCCAGAGACAAACAGCTTCCACTAGTATTCAGCAAGAATTTTCGCTTCTTTTTTAATCTGGAATAATATGAAAAAAGTGACTAGCGTGTTCTTCAGGTGATGCTGATCATTTTGATACCTGATATTCCCTATTTAAGTTAACTTTGTTGAAATCCATTTTTGGAACGAAGTTGCATCTTTGAAGCGAAAAATAAGGAGAATGGGCCAAACTATGACATCAGCTGAATAGTGTACCTCTTCTAATCAACCTACCCTGCTGATAGTAAGCTTTTCAAGTTCCTCTCTGCCACCAGCTGTCAATTTCGGGCCCTTGTTTGAAAGAAATTTTCACATTTTTTCATCGAAAGGAAACCTCCCAAAAGTTATATCATTCGAATACTCATCGAAAACACTATGTAATGATATGAAGGGTAAGTCAGAAATTTCCTCATTATTACTTCCAATTTTGGCACTGCCTGCCTTCTCTTCCCGCGAACACTCGACCGGCGAGCTAATTAGCCGTGTCACCGTGGCCGATGACCTAAGCATCTTACACCACAATTGCCGTAGGACCTCTTTCACATCCCAACGGACGCCCAACAGTCCGTTATACATAGCACTATTTGGAGGACACCGTCAGAGCCCGAAAAATGAGTTCATAAAAATTATTCAGATTTTCAGGACTGGATGTGAATGGATTCATTCACAACAGAATTTGGAGGAGAACATACATTCACACTGGCAGCCCTGTTCAGCAACCCCATCAGGTGGACCCACGTCCGCTACAAGTGGAGGTTTATGGCCCGTCTGGTAGCTTATAGATGCCGTAGTGCGACCCTGTGGTCTAATATTCGTTTGCGATCAGCTTGCTGCATAAGTACTGTTCCTGCAGGTCAAAAATTGTTGTTGCAAAACTGTGGCACAAATATGGGTCACGCTCTAATAAATTTCAATAGGGTCCTCGAGCCTCTGTGTCAGTGGTGTGTAATGCCGTGCTTGTTGGGCCGGAACTGAACAGAATTCAGTCAGAAAAAAAAGAAGTAAAAGTGGCCAGGGTCAACCGTAAGGTTAGCCTTTTTTCAAAAATTCTACGAATCCCTCGCCCTTCAGTGGAGTCTCAATGCGTTCCCCTTCCCACCACTATCATCAATCTTAGAAGGCTTCCCAATATGATCTTCTCCCATCATGGCTGTTTCTAGAGTTTTTCATTCTAAGACCAGTCCACACAGTCCACATGCCCAACCCCATTCACTTTTTTCTCCAGAACAACCGTCGAGCGGTGCTGAGACAGGCCTGGGGGAGGGGGGAGTCAGGTATCATGAAGCGACCAATCCACCACTTCTGCCCATTTTCTATCCCCTTCCCGAAATCACAAATGCGACCTCTCGTTCAAATGGCTAGCGGAAGGTTGAGACTTGCGACTACAAAATCACAGGTAGCTCGAATCAGCCATCCATCAAAAAGCACTTCCACAAAAGGAAAACTTTGATGCCGTCAGCAGTTAGTAGATTCGTCAGCTCGCATGCGCTCACTTTTTGATGCAATAGGTGTCAAAAAAGTGTCCAGTACGGAAGGAGTTTGAATACAACAACACAAAGGCGACACGCTAACTTTATTTAGAAGGCTTTTCAAATAAGGAAAGAACAGAGTTAGTGAAAATTTCTCGATTGGATCTGTTAAATTGACCTTGCAATCAGATTATTCTTCTATTTATAAGAAACCCCGGCGCAGATTCTCCAAAATCGCAAGGTATTTTTGTCAAGGTTGCAGCTTTGCCAGTAAAATCCAAGAAATGGCCGTTAAAGAGGCACCAAAATACAGTGTGAGGATAAAGAGGTCGCGAGCATTTCCAGTTGACTCGCAAACGATGGTGAATGGTACGCAACTGAAGTTCTTTGCTGGATCTATTCCAGAGGGACTAACAGACTTTGGGCGTCCGTTGGGATGCGAAAGAGGTCCTACGGCAATTGTGGTGTAAGATGCTTAGGTCATCGGCCACGGTGACACGGCTAATTAGCTCGCCGGTCGAGTGTTCGCGGGAAGAGAAGGCAGGCAGTGCCAAAATTGGAAGTAATAATGAGGAAATTTCTGACTTACCCTTCATATCATTACATAGTGTTTTCGATGAGTTACGAATGATATAACTTTTGGGTGGTTTCCTTTCGATGAAAAATGTGAAAATTCCACTCAAACAACTGCCCGAAACTGACAGCTGGTGGCAGAGAGGAACTTGAAAAGCTTACTATCAGCAGGGTAGGTTACTTAGAAGAGGAGCTCTATTCAGCCAATGTCATAGTTTGGCTCATTCTCCTTATTTTTCTCTTCAAAGATGCAACTTCGTTCCAAAAACGCATTTAAACAAAGTTGACTTAAATAGGGAATATCAGGTATCAAAATGATCAGCGTCACCTGAAGAACCCGCTAGTCACTTTTTTCATACTATTCCAGAACAAAAAGACGCGAAAAGGCGGCTTGCTGAATACTAGTGGAAGCTGTTTGTCTCTGGCTGTAAATATAGCGAGCGACGCTCGCTAATGAGTAGCCTCAGGTACTTTGGAATAGAAAAATGAAATTTTCTAAAATCTGAGAGGACATTCTAATAGCACTCGACGAGCTGAGTCTAATGGTACAGTTTTTCATGTCGAAAAGCGATCAGAAATCAAATTATAGCAAAAAGACGAAAAAGACGCGGATCCGCGTCTTCCGCGTCTTTTTTAACAAAGTTACGGGAGGTCTCACAATCACATACTATTACAGAGGTCATGGTATGAGGGGGAAGGGGGAGGTTGGATAAAGGCTCGGCTATGAGGAAGCACCTAAGGCTCATGGTGGTTTAGGGGGAAAAGTCGTGAAAATTCTAGCGATAGGAGCAACGGGCGGTTGACCCTCCTCGAACGTCAGTTGACTACTTTTGTCATCGTAATTCAGCCATTTGACGAAAGTCTGCAGTTCGGAGCAGAATTCGGATACGTGTCGTATTTGAAAAATCAAAATTGTTGTAAACGTCGACAATTTTACTCACTTCCAAATTCTATCCACTCAAGGCGTTTTCGAGGTCATATTGGCTGATGACTGAGTAGATGTCTAAACAATCCAAGAAAATAGATTCATCCAAGTTGGGACGTACTAGGCTTGTACTAGGCTATGTACTATTCTTGAGTAGATAACATAAGCAAGCAGCATCAAATTTGGCCGACCTCAAGAAATAATTTTTCACTTCGATTAATGCTCTCGTTTTCAACAGATGCCTTTAGAATTAGAAGACCAAATTAGTTTAAAATCTTTTTCATCTACGGAAAATAAGAGTACTTATGGAAAAAATCAAATAAATATCTGTTCAGAATCCACAGGCAATGCTTCGACAACGCGAGAAAATCAGTGTTGCCAAGGAGAAACGAGCGGCGAAGACGATCGCTGTGATCATCTTTGTGTTCACTTTCTGTTGGCTGCCCTTCTTCTGCGCCTACGTTGTCCTGCCATTCTGCGATTCCTGTACGCTTCATCCGAAGGTAAGTTGAGATTTCCTTAAAGGAATCTTCCACGGAAAAAGCTCCGCCTTCATTACATTACCACAGAAAACGATCCCTCAAAGGAATCTTCCACGGAAAGAGTGATCATTTTGCCTTGTGTGTAGGATTAGTGTTATAGAAACTAACGCTTATGTTCCGTTCTTTTTGCTATGCTCATGAGGCTAGGGGCCTAAGGTATGGTTTTTCTGTGGTAATGGAGGCGGAGCTTCTTCCGTGGAAGATTCCTTTAAATGTATATAAACCGCTTAATGTACAGGGAGAGCTATATTAAAAGGGGCTGTCTGTCTATAGTGGCTCCGTCATAAGGTCAACATGGAATGTGCCTTTAATTTTGCTCATAGATGAGTTGGTGCGCGCAAGAGGACAGAGTTCATCTCTGCCCGCCAGGGCCATGCATTTCGAATGACAGCTATCGTGACCATGTGGCAGGGTGCCGGCTGATTGAGAACCTCTTCCCCGGAACAAAGAGACAGCGGGAGAAGTGATAGTTTGCGCGGCAGAAACGCAGTTTGAGACGTTTCGAATATTCAATTTTGTAAGGGAATCCTGTTCTTATAATCTAATTATTAGTTTCATATAATGACAATTCAGGTCAATCAGGCATTCACATGGTTGGGCTACATAAATTCGTCGCTGAATCCGTTCTTGTATGGCATTTTGAACTTGGAGTTTCGACGAGCCTTCAAGAAGATCCTCTGTCCAAAAGCTGTACTCGAACAGCGCCGCAGGCGATTGAGCGCTCAGCCATAAATATACAGATTTTGTGCAAACACACAGATCATATTTATTGATCCGTTTCAGAAATGCAGTGCTATCGCACCAGAGTCACTTAGCTCCCCTTCCGTTTAATAATTTAGTCTTCCATTTAATATCATAATGTAAATACCTACTTTTTAGTGTGTTTTTTATTGCCAAATTACGAACTATGTTATATTCCGGGTAAGCCATATGGAAAATCGCAATGCACATCGTTGCCATTCTCAACCTATGTGTCGTATGATTTTACCTTATCAAACAGGTGCTGTTTTATTGAATTGAAATGCCATTAATTATTAGAATTGGGAGTGTCGTTGTTGTAAGGAGTTGACTCGTTGTGTTATTGCTATTATCTGTTGCTCAACAATGTCATTGCTGTAATTGCATATTGCAATTGATTGCTGTTTGTTTTGCTATTTCGCTCTTTATAAAAAATTCTCCGCCTTTTTCCTTTGACGTCTTCAAAAACAGTTGCTCTTAACCCTTTGACAATGCGGATTTGCATGTAGCGTGCTCGTGCGACCACGCCTCTTTTTGGCGCACCCAGCTCTCACACAAAATGGGGCAAAATTGCCCCTAAAAGCAGTTTTTAAATCAAAATTTCGACTATGACAATAAACAAAATATGATGCAGCCTTAAGCTTCATGATCATGTATTGTTGGAATTAGATGTGGAAGGTTGGAAAGAAATCTCGGATTTCGAAGGGATGGTGTTTGAAAACAAAAAAAAATTCAAATGTGTGGTAGAATTTTTGATATGGTTCAAACTCCTCTTTGTGTCTTAAGACTGTGAAGAGACGTAGAGGTCCTGATCTGCAATTCACCTCAAGCTTAGTGATGTAAAATACTAGTTAATACATCGCCGAGCGAAGTGCTATATCCTAAATTTCATCTAAAATAGCTGGTAACAAACATTTTTACAAAATATACCAAATATAGGCGTAATGGAGCTTGTTTACAAATACTGATATGTTGAAAATGTTTTGAATGGGTAAAGGGGAAAATTTTAGGGCGGTACCCACCATTGGGTGCCATTGTCCCACACGACGGTCATAGTGGCACCCACCGTGGGTGCCGTTGTCGCCAAAGGGTTAGGCACTTACGACCACCAAACGGTCGACTAAAAAAAGTGCCATTAAAAAAATTAACTGGACGTTAAGCAAAGTAATAGTAATTTTCTCTAACAACTGACTTTGAAAGACTGGTTTCGGTGCTATTTAGTGGCTCAATATCTGCTACTATTGCCTAACAATTTATGTGATGTCCTGAGAACCTCAGGGCTTAGCACTAACGTTAGCTCTGGTCAGAGAGACGCGAAAGTGCCGGTTCAATATTTCCGCATTTCTTTCATAACAAATCAATGACGCCTTTGTTAAGTGGAGATGAAAAGGAAAGTGTCATTATTATATGTTTTCTTTTTCCTATTTTGTATTTTTTTTTCGCAGAAACCCAATCCTTTCACTTGTGTAATACTTCGAGTATGTTCTTCAGACGAAAGGGTTTCATGAAATTGCTAGGTCCTGCCGTATTTTCACAGAACACGGAACCTGGATCACTTTGAGCGCGAACGTTTTTTTTCATCAAGAAACAACTCTCTAAAGGCTATCTCGGCCTCCTGGTTATCAGGTGTTGTCTATGCGAAAGAGCGCAGAACTGTTAAAATGGCACAGGCACAATCAAAAAGTGATCATGATGGACAACAAAGCAAAAATCTTTGATCAGGAAGCGCTAGAGATAGGGGTGAGATCTGAGTCGGTACAGTTACCCTAATTTCCGGTAGATAAGCCTGCGACAATATCACGTAAAAACACCTCCGCCGGTGCAGTGACTTGCGTACATATAGGGACTACCGTAACTTGCCTGTAGAGGTAATTCGATATGCTGATTACGAAAATGACATTCATTTTAAGCAGTGGCGCCATCTGGCACCAGTTGGCGTCACCTTGTCACGATCCTTGGCTTTGCCAAAATTGCTACAACTTCCATGGAGATGTTATTTGGTGCCGTGATTACGAATATGACTTTCTTCTTGGCATTTAAGTTGTTCAATGCATATTTCTCGATTGGAGAGCGCCGACGAACAGAAAATATGCATCAAATAGCGCCAGCGCCGAGAATTGCTGTTATAATCGTAATCAGTGCACCGAATAACCCCTGTGCGGAAGTTTGCACCACATTTGGTGAAAACAGGTGTCGTGACAAGGTGACGCCAACTGGCGCCAAATGGCGCCACCGCCGAAAATGAATGTCATTTTCGTAAATAGCATATCGAATTACCACTATAAGCAGAATTACGGTAGTTCTCATTGTACAAAATCACAATGCACGAGCGGGGGTTTTTTATGTGGTATTGGCGCGCGCTTATCTTCTGGAAATTAGGGTATCCACACGCCTCGTAATATTTAGACAACTCTGGAAAGTCTACGATAGCCTCCAAATAGCCTCAGGCGATCTTGATGCATTTCTTTATGATTAGTGAATGATGCTCCCAACTCCACAATGTGCACTTCTCAGAAGGTACAGGGCAAGGCCAAGTCCGTAAAGAATGGTGTAATCAAATTTGCAGTTTTTGAGTGCTATCTCGCAGACTGATGCTAAGGTTATCACAAGGTTGTAGAATTACGAGTAACACAGCTTGTCCAACCAGGAACGTAGTAATTTCACCATTCCATCTGAGCTAACGCAAATTTTTCAACCAGCGATTTCAGGAACGTAAGAAGTGGGCATCATTGGAATGATATGTTATCATCCAGTTGCTGTGAATCGTTGTGAATCGTCAAAGGTGACGTCTACCTGAAACGTTTGATCCTGAGGATCATTTCTTCTTCGAACAAATTTCGTGGATTGAGCGGTGAAATCTTCCACCTCCATTACCCTTCCCTACTTGACCTTAACAGTCTGAGAGTAACAAGTCATCCTTTGGACTGTTTCCTTTTCAGCCGCGATTTTCTCTAAGTTCCCTTATATTTGGTTAGCAGGAAGGGTTGCAAAAACTTCTACAATTACCAGCGATTCATCAACAAAATATCGACTCAGCAAGTATAAGCTGCTCAATCACTTCGTCAGAAATTTAGGATGCCTTCACTTCTCACAACTTTACTTTTACGGAATGCCTTTATTGATCAAGTTCTTGAATTTCTCACTCAGGAGTTTAAGGAACCAAATTATTCGTCGAAGTTGAGAAAGGAGTAGGGGGGAGGGGGGAACAAACGACTCTGACATTTCGACATGTAATGTCAACATATGTTTTGACTCTGTTCTGTTATTATCTCCACTGCCATTTCAAGCTCATTGTCTCTCAACAACGGGTTGGCTGTTGAAAGCTGCTGTTCCGTTTTTTTTTTGCGATTTTTTGCTATTATGACCATATTGGAAACGACCCTTTTCCACGGACATGCGTAAAAAGATTCAAAATGATCAAAATTGAATGTGATATCAGTTATAACGACGACTCTTGACCCATTTTCCTACATCAGGACAAACAGATTTTTCTTCTGAGTGTCTCAGCGAAGTAAAGTATCTGGCACCATTTACACATTGTGACCACGCTTTTCGGAATTTGTCTTAATGTCCTGGGTCAATATTTCGCTTACAATGGTTATATCTTTCTTAACTGAGCCACTAATAGGTACCGGAAATCTTACAATTAGGTCGTTTTTCACCACGGGTTTCGGTCCAACAATATTTTAATTCGGGATCCGAGGAGTAAAACGGCATATTCATCGAATGACTCATTAGGACTTTCCCATTTATCAGTATGAGTCCCTCGTAAGATTAAAGCTAGGAGTTCTCTGAGTCGAAAAAGAGAGGTAGGTCGGTTTTGACATCATCTGACAAATCATCCCACTTACTTGCTAAAAAGTAAGGCCTTGACAAAGGAAGTATGCCGTTAGTTAGAGTAGGGTCTGCGCTGTATGGTGGAAAAGTTAAAACTTACCAGCTCAGCTGGACAATTTTTCCCGGAGTCTTTTTCGCCGCATGGAGTCAAAAACGCACCCTTTTTGAGCCCACGCGAGTAGCATATGAGCACATTTATTAGAATTTCTTGTGCAACCAACTTCGTTAAAGCCTTTGTGCATCACTTCGAACACTTCACTGTCATTTGAAAAAACTATGAAAAAGCGATAAGCATTTTAAATGGTAGTATTCCCTCCAACAAACGCAATGTTGGTTTGGTGGGCGGAACTTGTAACTCTCAGCAAGAATTTTGAAGATTAGGTACACACATACGAAATTTGCACACTGGATCCAGGAATTTTCAAGAAAAGCATAAAAATTGGGGGAAAGTGCAATTGTGAACCAACAATAGAAAAAAAGCAACATATTTCGCAGTATTAATGAGCAAAAAGGACCTTCTGAGATATCGATTTTCCATAGTAAACGGCCCCAAAACTTTCTGAACTCAGAAAAGCGACACTAAGATATCCGGTACCTAAAGTTTCTCACAGGGCACGTATAGCACACGCGTTGACGAGCGTCTGGCACTCGCGTCAGAAAAGCTGTCACCACTGAAATCGCTGAAAAGTCAAAAAAGGACTAGTCTCATACAATGAGAACGGCCATCTCAATTATTTTGCATATTTTTTCACATCAATTTTTTGGCAGAGAAACCCTTACAAATGAATACTGTGTAGTTATAGGAAAGCTCGGAACCAATTGAAAACTGGTTTCAAATGAGCGTTTAACGTTTCTCGTCAAATAGCTGACACATGGGAAGATCAAGTTGCTTCGGGAACGAATTTTCACCAACTATGATGGCCTGAATTATTTGATGGCGCCGCCTGTGATGTGGGCGTGAGGAATTTTTGTGCCAAACAGTAATATTTAAGCACATTTGGTCAGACAAAAGCAGTAACAAGTTTTCAGCAAGACCATCCACGTGGACAAATTTTGCGAAAAACCGTGCCCAAATTTCGATAGCTATGTCAGTAACTTGTAAATAATACACTAATTTCATTATAAGTACAAGCTTGTATATTTAGACTTTACTTTTTTAATCTCTCCTTCATCAAAAGCAGAAGTAATTCGTAACAACAGCAGTACTAACAGCCCAGTCATCAATTTCAATGAAATAATTCCGTGACTTTCCCATGTGGTGATGAGTGAACACTGTCGGTGAATTCACACGACGGGTGGTATTTTCTAGGATTCGCTCTAATGATATAGGGCATCAAGATTATAAAGTATTAAGTACCCGAGCAGGGCATGCTGACGGCAGTCTGTGAAGGACCAGAGGTACTACGGTATGTCCTCGACGAAATGGTTGATGCGTTAATTACTCGATAGTTGCCAGTGGAATGATCGACACCGTTTCTGGGGCATTGGCGGGAACTGTTGGGTCGACTCCGCCCCGTGGCCGGCGTATAACATCCCGCGATGGACCCTCTACGTGCTCAAATATTCTTCATATTGACTATGAACTATATTCATTGCAACTGCTGCACTTCTCCTTAGGATCATACCTGTTCGACGGGAGTCATCGTCCTTATTGGCACAATGACACTGTTGCGAACTGGGATGGTCAACACTGTCGTTTCGCGCTGAGGGCGCCATTCTGAACTTCCCCAATCCTTTCTGAATTTCCTCGAAATTTTAACGGATGGCTTGTGTTCACTCCGATTCGCCGGTAGTCATTGTCGTGGATGGGCACTATGACACTGTCGCGAATTGGGGTGATCGCCGTTTCTGAACAATGGTGTGTTGATTATTAATCGCTGTTTTTTTTTACATTTGTTAGTTGTAATCCTTAATTTTTTTCCATTTTTAATGATGTTAATATGCTTTTCATTGATTTTTTACTTTTGTTTATTTAAGAAATGATATTGGAGCCACTTGAGTGTGCCCACTTTCTCTTTTCTCTTCTATTTTTTCGATGGTGTCACGGTAACGGTACTGTAAGTAGATCACAATACGGTAGCCGTTGATCGCTTATTTTACATGAACCATTTCTAGTTGCCAGGTGCTGCTCTCGGCAAATAGTAGATATTCAGGGACTCAACGAATTGCACTGTAAGTATGTACATGACGAATGAATGTGGGGATGGAATTAAAAATCGATATTTCATGGTCATTCCCCGATGAATATCGTGGCGCGGCACAGTGCAGTACGCGCCACTGTTGGTTCGAATTTCCTCAATGTCAGCGCGGATTTGCGATGGTGCCCCATTGAGGGCGAGAACGGAACAAGTCGTTTATACCCAAATCGTCTTGAGACATTGCGTAAAAATCAGTGGGCCAGTTTGGAACGCCGTCGATTGAAAGCTGCAATGAAATTCCGTAGTTCTTGTTTCACCGCTGGCGCCACGGCAATTTCCTCATGATCTCGGTCTGAAAAGGAAAGATTTTGGATGTTCTAGTATTACTGTATTACTGTGATCTAGTATTGCAAGTTGAATGGAGACAGCATGGGGATGAGTAATTGTCGAGATGTCAGGTGCATTTTTAGGGATATGTCAAGCCACGTCACCCAAAAGAATGAGAAGTCCCGAGCGATTAACTCAATCCGGTATAAGAAATGCAAAAGAAGTGTAGAGTTCTCAACTGCGTTCTGCGGCGCCTAGTGCAGAAAATTCTATGGTTTCTGTACGAGTCAAAAATAAAGCACGAAAATTCATCAGAGCGCATTCCCTTGAGGTTCGTGGACGTTCTAGGATTATGTTTTCAGGGTATAAATAGAAAAGTTAACCCAACACTTCAAAGTATCACTGTGGGCGATGTGAGTTAGCCGGTTTTGTAGCACTAGTTGACACGATTAGCGCAAGGATTACATATCGGAGACGTTAGGTTAATTTCGGCGCAAAATGTTGTTGCAAAGAAGGTGTTCGGATGGGGCAAACTTGAGTGCCTTAAACTATAGCTTCTTGACTAACTGCTATTTTTATCCTGTCTAACCTGACCTAAATGACCAGAAATCGGATTCGCAAAATCACTGAACCTTGGGCGAATGGTGAAAGGAATGTTTCAAAGCGGTCACTTTTTCGTGATAATTTTGGAATCTGGTTTTCAACCTTGATTAAAAATGTCAAACGACAACAAATTTCGCGGAAAACTTATTTCAATCCCAAGGAGAAACTTCTGCGCCGACCCTGAGATGCCTAGGTGCTCAGCCTTCATTTGGTAACGTAGAAGCATTTCAAACAAAAAGAGCAGCGAAGGTTAGATAAGTCCCTAATGTGCTTCTTTTTTCATGATAGGAAGTTTGACTGGCCTCTGAGGTTTGGTTACCCACGCGGCGCGGTGGGTTACGTGTTATAGTTTTAGCTAGCCTACACCCGCTCACCTAGGCTTGTTAGTTCCTTACAAGACCTTTTTCACATGCGGCGAATTCACAGAAGAATTTGCTTGGATTATATTTCTTTATTTATTTTTTGGATTTTTTCGAGAGTCACCCTTACATTGTTCACTTTATTTTATATTATGTTTCATCTATTTTAAGAAAATTTGGAAAAGAAATAAAGAAAGTCGTACATCGATTACTGATTCGTCGTAGTGTTCGTTTAGCAGCGGGGCTCAGTTCCCTGAGCTCATGCTCCCGAGCTTTTAGCACGTAGCGTCGCTTCGTTGCCCAGCGGTTGTACTCCTCCAACTGCTTCCCATTGAGCAGTGACACAGCCAATGTCTGTATCTGGAAATATAACACAATCTGCAGCTTCCGTAGATTAGTAAAGAATACAACTGTTGGAAATTGCCTTTCGACATTCCTGTACAGCTGAACGGCTGCACAACTATCAATGAAAGCGGTACAGTTTCACTATCGCTGCTACTTAGCCTAAGCGAACAGGGAAAAATCAGCAACCGGTAAGGTTCAAGGCTTAGCTGCCGTTACGTTACGCTTACGTTACGCTAGTTCGACTCACACCACCGTATGGAGATCTGTGGTGAGGAATATTGGCAGGTTCGAATGCGGTGCTCCTTCATCAGAGAACCAGCCGAGACAGGAAATAAGAGACATAAGGACATAGAGTAAGGTAGAGTAAAAGCCGAAGCTCAGAATGAAAACCTGTGGGATGCTCAGTATGAGCGAATTCTATGCAAATATCCAGTTCAGGACATTTGGCGGGTTGAGATAAAGAGATATAAAGCTTTGTGGGTAAGTACTTAGGAGTACGTGGTAATTGCAGTCAGCAGTTTCTCCCTTTTAATATTGGTATCGCTCGGCTGCACTGAGGTGTCCCAAAAGCTAATCAGAAGGCACAGAATGTTCCTGTCACCAATTCTTTCAATTGATGAGATGAAGAAAAGTCCACTCCAGTTTAAGGGTTAGGTGAACGCGAGTTGCACAGACGTCTACCTTGATCCTAACTCAGATGAATTGTCTAAGTTAGAGAAGAGCTCGATAGCAAGTTCTGTGGGTTATGGCACCCGGCTAAAGTCGTTCATGCATTCCGTGCACAGTGGACATTGGGAATTTGATCCCATTGAAAACCTGAGGGGGAACCCATTTATTTGTAGAGCGCCTCTTTGTTCTCATCGAGGCGGCTCAATTTGGCTCCCTCAAAATCGTATATATCTGTTTCATAAGATCTGAGGAACTGTAAGAGCAAACAGTTGGTTTTCTCGCTGAGCCTGCGGTCCGGTCATGCTGCAGTAAGGACGCGATAGAAGACCGGGGCCAATGGAGAGTCCTGATCGTTTTAAATTGGCTAGTGGACGTGAGCCTCAGTGGATATAGCGCTAATTGGCTGTAATATGGTGAAGAGCTGTTGAATGCCACGTACCCCTATGAACCCACGGTTGCTAAAACCCTGTGACAAAGTCACTATTTGGGAGAGGCAATGACATATGCCGGAATTTGGGAAAGAATGTATAAAACCCTACTTTGAGGTTCCTGAGAGCTTCGCTAGGAATGTTTTCATCGTTCCAGATTTTTTCGAATTTACGTCGAACTTCCGGCGCTGCCGAGTGAAGAAATGGAGCTTTCGCCGCATTGTTGAATCGTAATGTGGCAATGTCATCGATGGAAGCCTGTGATCGATTTTTCAACTTTTTTGAAGGAATTTCTTTTACTGGATAATGCAAGAAGCTAGGAACGCAACACAATGTTTCCATATGCAATCAAAATTACCTCGTCAAATCGTATTGGCTCCGGTGACGGTTTCAACTGTATTTCAGCCCCTGCGATCAGACGCGGAAACGGAGTTGTCTGAAAGACTACGTAAATAAGCGGGTATCAATTTTTGATGGAACTGTTCCACTCAGCCAAATCTTCTCACAAGGGGTTCTTCCTCATAGTCTTCACCAGCAGGGGTCGTCGCAGCAGGAACAATTGACCGGCGACCACTGCTGTTTATAGCAGTCGTTTCTGAAACTGCAGCTGAGATTAGATCGCACAAGGGGAAAATACCGGATAAAACGCATTTTTGGACACTATCCTCAACAACTGGGCTGAAGTAGTGTAGTGGCAATTGGCACGCTCACCACGCGAGCGGTCCTGGGATCAAATCCTGAGTCGTGATTCACCCGGGCCGACAAAGCCTTCCATCCCTCCGGGGTCGGTTGATTGGTGCCAGACTTGTCTGGGAGGATAAAAACACTGACTTGTACATCGGCTGGCCCCCGCAAGTCATTGCATCGGCCACATCGCACTAAAACGCCACTACGAATGTAGCAGGTGGAAGTAGAATGCGTACCGCATCCCAAGGCGGGATTGATCAAATGCTTTATCCTGGCGATGCTTTATCCTTTATCATTTTATCCTCAACAACTTGTGCTGATAGGCCAACAATGCATTAAAGTGCATGGAAAAATGTGGGTGAAGATGTGCTCAGATTGGGTTTTTTTTCTATCAACCTTTTTTGATTTATATCTGATTTGGTTTTGTCGAATTATTGTAGCGCACCTACGAGTGCGTAGCAATAAATAAATAACTAAGTAAATAAATAAACAAATCAAGCGATGTTCAAGGAACTATAGAGGTATATCTCTGCGACTATCTGTCATCGGAAAGTTTGTACCTGGCACTTGAGCTTGTCCATTGAACTCTGGATGGAAAACGATTACTTTTACTGATACGCTGCTATAGTCAGGTGGAATTTCAAGGAGCACCGCGTACTGTTGGTTCTGCCCTTTCTAGCCAAATCGCCACAACAGACCCAAGTAGGCCTAGCATCTCGTCGGTAGTCCGAAAGCAAAGAGGAACGGAGTTCTGTGGGTTTGTACCAGCAAGCGCTTCCTAGTGAGGGTTGTTCGTTTGCGAGGTGTTGTTTGTTTGTGTCAACTTTAAATCGTCATGGGTTACTCCATTTTAAAAGTAATTCTGCATTTTCATGGTAATTTATCGGCTGTGGCGATTTCAGAACCGCTGAATCTATTTTGAAAAGAGAAACGTTCAGCTCGAGTTTTATATGAAAAGGAGAGTGTTCGGATGGCTCGAACCAGGGTCTACCCTATTTGCGACAAGTGCCAACGGGGGAGGAGATCGTATTTGGATGAGTTTGTAGGGGGGACGCACTCTCTCGGAGACCGGCAGTGAGATCCTGGATGGGCATGGATTCCAGCCACGAAACCACATAGAAACTGAAGTGTAGCTGGAGTACTGCCTGAGATAACATGGATAATAGCCAGCACGCTACGTTTACGCAAGATAATTGATACCAGAGATCTATAATTCCCTTCCTTTTGGATGAGCTTTCAAATGAATCAGCGAATCAGAAGCGCGGCCGATACGTGGCGCAACCAAGGCAGAAGATATCAGTGCAAGCGCATGCTCGAAGCTTTCTAATACATCCTATGTTGAACACGAGGTTGCTTTCCCTGGCGGTTACGGCCAGTGAAACCTAAAAACCCGCGTTTTCAATGGCTTGAAGAATACCCCCTTCCAAAAAAAGTCGCAACGGGACTACTCTTTGAATTGCTGTTTTTTCAGGAACGTTCGGGTACATTTTAGGAAGCATGAATCCTGCAGTTTGTCATATCAAATTCAGTTTCCCAAATCAATGAGTTTGAAGGAAGTTATGATCGTTTAAAGGTAGAAAAGCTGCGGTTCCAGAAAAATAGTTCCGCGAACCCAACAATAAGGTATTTTTTAGAAAGCTTGAATCCCGAAGTTTGTCACCCTGAGTTCAGCTTTCGCAATCGACGACTTTGAACGAAGTTATGATCGAAAGTCGCATTTGCACAGAAAAAAAAGTTCCAACGTGCTAAATTTTTATTAAACTAGCTTAGAAATATTTAGCCATGCTTGGAGAGAGAGGATAGTTTGAATTTTTTTTAAATCGAATAACTTTGACGCAAAAGCGTAAATAGTAGGGAAGTTGTAGCCTTGGAAAAAAATTGTAGTAATTTTTTTCTTGCTGAATAACTTAATCATTTCAAATTATTTGAGAACAAATGAGCTCTTCATAGAAAGGCTGAGCCTCGGTGATCCAAAACCCACTTCCACCTTCCGAAGTACCTGAATTTTAACGAAGAAAAATTCGTCTACATTTCAATATCCCCGTTCGTCACCTGAGCAGTAAACGTGCTCCATCGTCACGGCGCGATTGAACAGTTTCAAAACGCGATCAATAGGTTTCCATTCCTTTGCTTCCTCTAATTGTTTATATGATTGCACCTATTATTGCACCTATCGGTGGTTGGGTCCCAGCCGGTAAGGGAATGTGGTGCGACAGCTCATATCGCGTGAAGTTGTCCACTTTTTTGCAGAGGAGGCTTCGGGGTGGGTGTTGAACTTCGTCAGCAAACACATTGCCTACTTCTACTGTTGCCATTGCAAAGGCTCTTTTAGAACTACATAGGTACGGCTGGGGAGTGAATCTAGTCGACTTCTAGTACACATCCCTAGAATCAGTGAAACAGTGAGAAACTGAAAGTTTTCTTTCTTTCGCTGAAAAATCCAAAGGAATGAAATGCCAGGTATTTCGTGAATGAACATAGGAAAAGAAAGTGTATGTCGCTCCGAGCAGACGGGAGGACACTAGGAAATGTTCACTGTTCCCAGGTTAAAGCTTTCTTTGCATGGTCAAACACGTTCTCATCAGAAAGGGACTTCACTGACTTTCCACATTTAGCCATGCGCTCATGTTAGCATAAGATTTCTGTAGACCAAAACTTCGAGATTTCTATGTTTAGGTAATTAATATCAGAGTATCAAGATGTCACCATGAACTCATTGCGAAATACCGTACTCCCTCTATTTGAAGTTTTTTATTGTTATTCGAGAGCTTTGTTTTCTCATTTAGAGATCAGAGCGGAAAATTCTTCAATAGCTTCTTGTCTGCTTGCGATGTGCGCAGAGTGACAACTAACCTGATGGCATGTGTCTCTCACTCGGCCGAAATGGCCGTTTGGGCAGTCTACAAGCCCTGCCGGCAGCGGTCAATAGAAAAGTCTGACTATATGAAGCGCGGTTTCTTACAGGCCTCTTTTTGATTACTCAGCCACAAAAACCTCAAGCTGCACGCAAGCCTTTTAGGAACGCTAAATTTAGGTTAAGTACCAGCATAAGAGGTAGAGACGAGTGCGGTAGCATGAACCAAATCAGCTCTCTCTTTAGAAGAGCTGCTTAACACATTGACGGCAGCGCGCGTTTTGGCTTTTTTGGTCATGTGAGACAGGGAGGATCTTGCGAGCGCGGCCGCCGCATAGCAATCGTAAATATCGAATGATAACTATGGAAAGCATCACTGATACAAAGCCATTTCAGCAATATGCAATGCGTAGGAGATAGCTGAGGATGTAGTGGCAAAATCCCGATCAAAAGAACGTGGAATGGTTATGAAAAGGGAACCCTCGTGCTTTTCTCTGCAGTGGATGCCAAAACTATTTTCGATGTGTGTGTGTGCCCAGTGGAACATATCTTTTTCTATCCTTTGGGTGTATTTCATTTCACTACCCTTTCTCTGTGACAACTTCGTGAGAATAGGAACAAAACGAGGAATGAACCGAGCTGCCAATTTCGCTGCGCTTGAAAAACTTCTGCTAAAATGGAGCACATTTGACCATACTGTGACCCATTTCATTAGCAATAATGTTATGTTGTAATCCATGGAATAGAGGCAGGCAAATCGGGAAGAATCCCCGCATACGCTAGAAAAGGGGATGACGAGGGTGAGACGCGCAACCGCGTCTCAATGTACAACGAGATGTGCAAAGTGAGACGCGTCTCAATGTTTAATGTGTTAAAGCAACTATTAGCATATACGAAAGGCCTTCCGTGTCATGTTTATGGCCAGATGCTTAAACGCCACCAAATTTAGAAGCAAATACGTACACCAAAAAGGAACTTAGAGAAGCTGAAGAAGAAGATGAGGAAAGGCCTTTTATGGTTTTCTTGAAGCAGATGGTACAAAAAGTTAGCTGCCCATTTAAAGTGATGCTGAAATGGCAAACGGTGCAGTAGCGAAGAAAAAAAATTAGGAGAAACGATTCAAGTCCTCAATCTGGGGCCTCTTATTGATTGCTGATTTCCGGACTAGACAAGATCCTAGGGTAAATGCTGTCGTCTGAACGTACAGCCCCACCTTTCTGCCAAGAGCTCGAGTTCAACGTCGAGGGACCAGCAATTGGGCAGTAATTCGGAGGCTAGACACAGGCACGAATGCATAGGTGGTGCGCCCTTCAGAAGCACGGGGGCAGAGTCAAACATGGTGCCCAGGAAAATTTTCAAACCCTCCCCCAGCAACGACGGTTCCTATGCACAACACTTGTCACCCTACAGATGGACACATGAAGGAATATGACTACTGCTGCCACACGTACTCTGTTCTTAGGGCGCGTTATACAGCGGAGTGAAAGTGAATCGTGGTTACATTCGAACGAGTATAACTTTTTTTAAAGAAAACGAGTTACAAATCTGCAAGAACATTTGGATGTTCCTCGATTCCTGAAAAGTGCCATGCTCTGCATTCTCTTGTGTCAACCCATCCCCAGTGTCCGTCTTATTGTCTGCTGTATTCACTAATGAACTAATGAATATTTGGATTGATATTGGCTGCAACAAGCCCGGGGCGGACCTCACTGGCAGTAAGACACACCACATTTCAATGTAGAGTAACACGACAGAACTAACGAGGAATATGGCAAAACAAGGAGCCAGATTGGGCCACGCGAGTTTTTACTATTTCGGAAGCCATAACTTTTTATATGCACGCATTTGAAAAGAACAAGAGAAGCTGCGCAGTGGAGGTATTGTCCTCTCTAAAATTGTTGGAAGTACCTGGCAAAGCGTGTAAATAAGTGCAAGGAGAGTGGCCCCTTTGAGGAATTTTACTCGAGAACCGCGTAGAGGTACGTTTTGTCATCACGTCACACTTGCAGACAGTTTTGTGTTGAAATAGAAACAGGTTGTCATTTAAATGCATTTTTTCTCTAAGAAGAGTGAACCTTTTTTCAGGTTTCAGATGAAGAAGATATGCTTATGATCATGAAAGTGACGCGGGAAATCGTATTTCGTCCTAATTAGGGAATCTTTTCACAGAATTTTATGCAGTCTTTTCCGGAAATCTCTGGATGCCTCGTTAACGCGCATTTCCTTTGCACGACTGCAATTGAAACGCATGGAATGGAGAAATCGTGCAGGGACGGACCGTGCGCACGACATTGAGCATCACACAGCGTGAGTTGCGGTTCCCATCTTAACGCGAATTCAGGCTATCGATACTCTGTTCGCTGCTGCTCCCTGCTTTTGCTACTCGATTCCGTTCCCTCCAACTGAACTAAATACCCATCCGTTGTCGAGGGTTGCTCTACGCATGCTCTGCTCGGAGACCTGGTTGTCCTTCACAGTAGACAGATTTCCTCCTACATCGTGCCGCCCGCCCTTCTATAAGCTTATTAACCCTTTCCGGACCGCGCACTTTTGCCGGGGCGGACGCGTGTGGATGGCGCCTTTTTATGCTCACCACCACGTGCTGCGCGGCGAATATAAGCATAACATATTTGACCTGCATTTCCATAAACACCATTATTTTATTCCGTTTCTGTATTTTTCATGTCTAAGGGTATTTATGTGCTGAATTTGACAGAAAACTGTTGT